AATTTTCTATCGAAATATTTCTCGTATCTTTTTTCTGCAATATTTGGCGAAGACAAAAATTAACGGATTCCAAGGAATCTTTATCCGATTTTTTCAAAAGTCTGAAGGAGGGGGAACTTTCCCCCTATACTTTGTTAACTTTTCGATGTAAACTTTTTGAAACGCCGATGCACGTATTTTCTTTTTCTTAGTTCTACTTTCATAATCTACTAAAATTTTTCAGTTATTATAAAATAAAAATAATTTTGTCGCACAGTGTATAATTGAATCCCTGTCGTTTAGGCAAGATTTAGAATTTTGACGAATTTCAGAACTTATAATAAAATTTCATGAAAAATAATTTCATAGAATATTTTGACCTGATACGATCCAGTTTAAAGATATTTTTTAGCCGTATTTAAAAAAACGGACGAAAGAGACCCCTTTCTTACAATTTTTCACCAAAATATATCTCGTGTTTTCGTCTGCAATATTGGTGACAACATTATGTACCTTAAATGCAGAAATTCCGAAAAATCTTAATCCGAAATTTTCTAAAAGTTTGGAAGCGAGCGGGAGTTTTCCCCCTCTATTTTGGTAACTTATCGAAGTAAACTTACAAACAACCAAAAAATAACTCGGTTAAAATTTTTTTGTAAAAAAAAGATTTTTTTATTAACTTAACTAGACAACAACTACATCTTAGGCTTCAGGGGCAACGGGCAAATGGGCACCTTGGGGTTGGAAACCGTTTTCATCGGCAACATAGGTGACGGTGTAGGTTTGGCCATCATCAGCAACGAAGGAGTAAGAGCCCTTGACAGAGATAGCTTCATCTTCAGAGCCGACATTCTTCAATTGACCTTGAGCTTCAGCTTCGACACCATCGCTGGTGGCATAACTGTAACGGAGATGAAATGGAATAAAGAAATGTTGAATTAATCCATCCTTTTTTTGTGGTCGGGGCGAGGCTTTACAATTTCAATAAGAGATCGAGAGTTCTGGATACTTACGCATATTGGAAAGATTCGGGACCAACTTCAGATTCGCTCTTAAGGACAACAGCATCTTCGGCGGGAGCGGCCAAAGCCAAGGCGAAGAGGGCGGCGAAAACAATGATGAATTTCATTTTGATTTTGGTTTTTTTGTTTTCCTTCGTTTGTCGTAGCTGACGTTTGAATGATACCAATTGTGGACTGGGTTCGGCAATTTATACGAAAGTGTGTATCATCAAACTCTTGGCATCTTAATCTCAATACCTATGAGATTAAATTTAAATCAGTATATTTTTCTATGTTTTCTATTATGTAATGTAGTTCAAACTCTTTGGCAATATTTAGCGATTCCAACAAAAATCAAAACTTGGCGGTATATTCAAATTAGCCGGTAAGCCATCGCCATGTTAAGCCTAGAATTGGCAGCATAAGAAGTTTCATAACCAGAATGTAAATTTAACTTATGTTGGTATATCGGTGTGTGTAGACATCGCTATGGGACGGCCAAACAATAGGCCTACGTCAAAACATAACAACGATGGAACGACTACACATGGAACATAAATGTTAGGGAAATTCATATATCACCATTTCTGAATTAACCAGTCTTGAATAAAATAAAAATAAATATTAGTAGTTCGAAAAACCAGACCCGTGTGCTGTGGAATTATTTGAAATTCAAAACGTTCAAGGGTAGTAGTGTAGAGCTTATCAGTATATCTATATTGGCCATTTAGTCTGTGGCTTCTTCTGAAATGCAATCTCGTTCCAGAATAAACGCGCATATCCTCGTTATTCTTTTAAAACCTTACTTCCATAGATTCTGTGTCCTGAATCCGGAATCGAAATATCAAATCGGAAACATATATGGGAGATATAGCTACATTTTAGAACCGCGGAAGCTAATACCTTGAAATTTGGAAAAATTTACGCAAAAATATTTTTGTGAATATCGAGGATTTATTTACATTTTCTGTGGATCAAGTACAGGTTCGATAGAGAAACTGTAGCACCTACCTTGTTTTTGAGGAAATAAAGATTTAAAAACTGTGTCGTCCCGGAAGCTGTGACCCTTTCATCCCAAAAGTGGAGGGTAATGTTAGTATAGCCACGGATCTTGATGGACCCTATTGGAATAGGTATGGAAATTACTTCAGTAGAAGGCCTGTTAAAGGTGTTCTATCAATAGAATACCTTCTCAAGGTCTGGTATTAATAGAACACCTTTTAAAGGTATTTTGTCCATAGAAAACCTGATAAAGGTCTTTGGTCCATAGAAGACCTGTAAAAGGGTCTGTTTAGGGTCTTCAATCAATAGAAGACCCCCCAAACGTCTTCTGTCTCCTGTCTACAAGAAATCTTTTAATTGTCTCCTGTATGTAGAAAATCTGCAGAAGTTTTTTCTACAAATGTTTAGAGAATTGCGATTGGGCGCCACATTTTTTTCTTTCAAATTCTACATGTTTTTCCTATATTTAATATATTTTTATCAATACAAGATGTGGTAGAATGGATTGGACGAACCTTTTCTTCAGGTACCTTCCCCACAAAGAATTAAATTTTTGAATAACCAAAACGTCATAAAATTTGGATTGAGCGTCCAATTCACTTAAAATTTCACACATCTCAGTACTTTTACTAAAACAGGACTAGGTGGACCACTACTTCTGACACTTCCCCTACAGAGGGTCAAATTTGGCAATAATTATAACTCTTATGAAAAGTGAAATAAGGGTCCGATTGTTCTTAAATTTCATACATTTCAATATTTTTCCAAACACAAGATCTGGTATCAAGATGAAATATATCGGACCTCTCCTTCACCCCACTACGGGTCGAAATGTTGAATAATTATACCTCTCAAAAAAATTCGCAAGAATTTATTCCTAAAATTAAAGGATTCCGAAGAATCTTAATCTGAAAATTTCAAAAATTAGAATTGGAAGATGCGAATTCCTCCCTTTGTTTAGGTCACTTTTCGCTGTGAATTTTCAAATACCCGATTCAGGTGTCTTCTACCATATATGAAGGGATTATTAGGTTTGTAACTTATAGAAATAACGATAGCTTCTTTGGCAGAATATTGCGTAAATAGACAACTTTTTCCTTTAGCCTCCATGTAACGATATTTTCCGACATTTGGTATTTTGATGACATTGTAGCCACATTTACCTCGGGATTTTGATTTCATAAAGGGTTTTATTCCTGCATTAGACCAAGTTCTATATAGGTGAAAGTTTCCCTTTTTTTGTGAACAAAATGCAGGTCGCATTTGTTATCGGATTGAGATGCAATTTTCCAAAAATATATATGTTTGGCCCAAGGACAAATCCTATTAAAATTGGTGAGAATCGGTTCAAATTAGCTCCCATAAATATCTTCAACCAATTTCAGATTAATTGTGCACCAAATGGCCAATATCAGCCCAAATGACCTGAATTTTGGTACATCCGACCGACTTCAGTCTAAAAGCAAGTACATCAAATTTAGTGAAAATTGGTTCAGATATAGCTTTAGCTCCCATATATGTTTCATCCGATTTGGGGCTTAAGCCCAATATCTTTATACAAGAAAGATATTTGGTACCAGAAAAATCTCTGCCAAATTGTATCAAGATCGGTTCAAATTTGGATATAGCTCACATATATATCTTTATCCAATTTTAGGTTTTTTGTGCACCAGATGGGTAATATCATCCCGAATGGACTGAGTTTCGACATTTCCGATTGAATTCATCCTAGAAACTAATACTTCAAATTTAGTGAAAATTGGTTCAGATATAGCTTTAGCTCCCATATATATGTTTCATCTGATTTGCTTGTAATATGCACCCCACAACAATGATGTTAGATACCGGGCATCAGATACTGCTCGAAAATACCTCTGCTATATTTTACCGAGATCGGTTCAGATTTTTATATAGCTTTGATATTTAACTTCATTCGATTTTACGGTTATTGCTCACCATATATGTAATACCAGCCCAAATGGAATAGATTTTTCCACATTCAACCGAATTTTACCAGTTGGTGAAAATCGGACCAGTATATCTATTGCTCCAATATATATTTTTTAACATATATTGGAGCAATAGCCCGAGCCCGACTTTAGACCTTTCCCTGCCGGTTTCTTTGGATTTTTAATGTTATTTTTGATGCTATTTTTATACCCTCCACCATAGTATGGAGGGTATATTAAGTTTATCATTCCGTTTGTAACACCACGAAATATACATTTTAAACCCTAGACAAATAAATTCTTGATCAGCATAAAATTTTATGTCGATTAAGCAATGTCCGTCCGTCTGTGGAAATCACTCTAGCTTCCGAACGAAGTGAAGTAGGTTTACAAAAGCAATATTATTCGCCGGAAATGTTTTAAAGTTAATGTTTGAAGTTCGTAATGGATACTACAGCCCATTACAAAATATTGTCTGTGCAGGTCCACCTCTTCATATAGCCCTCATATAACGGTACCTCCCAATATTCGGTATTTTGACGATTTTAGGTACAATATTCTTCGAAATTGTTTAAAATGTCGTATTTGAAGTTCCTAATGAATTTTGGCCAATGACAAAAGTTGCCTATACAGATCCAAGTCCTTGCATAGATCCCATTATAACGGCTATATTCGGTATTTTTTAATATTTTAACAGAATTTTTAATGGATTTTATTTTTTTTTTTTTAATTTCTAAATTTGTTCCAAATATTGGAGAGATGTTCCACTCCGGCAATAATTGTGGATTTTTATTTTAATTTATTTACTTATATATATATTTTTTGGTACTTATGCGACTTGAAAAAAATCAGGACCATTTAAAGGTTTTTTTTTCGAAACTTAAACTATGGACAAATTTCTTGAAAATTTCTTATAGAGGTCGTGGGCTTTTAAGAAGGTGTTTCAGAATTTGAAAAATTACCAGTTTCAGAAAAGTAGATGCCTAATTCAAAACTTTCCACCCTTTAGGTTCGCATTTAACCTCAGAGGTTTTTTTTTTTGTATTTTTTTCTCACAATAAAACTCAACTTGTTTGTAATTAAAAAAATTATATATTTTTTTTAATTTCGATTTTTTTTCCTTTTTTGACTTATCCTATTTTGGTCAAATAACAACTTTGATAATAATTCTCCACTACGGTTGACAAATATTGCCAACTATAGAGAGCAATTTATAACATTTTACAAAGGGTTTGTGGGTTGGGTAGGGGAAATTTGAGGAGGGGAAAGGAGTTTGGGAGTGAAGGATAAAGGATTAGGGGTTAGATTTCAGGAACAAATCAACAACTTAAGCTTCAGGGGCAACGGGCAAATGGGCACCTTGGGGTTGGAAACCGTTTTCATCGGCAACATAGTTGACGGTGTAGGTTTGGCCATCATCAGCAACGAAAGAGAAAGAGCCCTTGACGGAGATAGCTTCATCTTCAGAGCCGACATTCTTCAATTGACCTTGAGCTTCAGCTTCTTGACCATCGCTGGTGGCATAACTGTAATAAGAAGGAATTTGAAAGAAACGTTAAATTAAGCCATTATTTGGGCGGGGGTAGTAGTTCAAAATACTTACGCATATTGGAAGGATTCGGGACCAACATCAGATTCGCTCTTCAAAATTTCAACTTCGGCGGGAGCGGCCAAAGCCAAGGCGAAGAGGGCAACAAAAACAATGATGAATTTCATGTTGAAGTTTTTTTTCGGCTTGTTCTACGTCGTTGACTAGAAGAGTTAATGCGGCTGAATGATGTCGAACTCTGATCTTTAGTTATTATTTATAGCATTTTTTTTGTTTCCACAAATTTTTTTATAGATCCATTTGCATAATTCTTCTATTTTGGATTGTTAAAATTTGATCTTGAATTTTAATGCCCTACAATGAGGGCGACTATGTAAAGAATTCACAAAAGAAGCTGGCCGTCAACGATAACAACCACTCTATGACGACAATTCAAATTAAGCTATTTTGTGAATAAATCTACATCGAACGATTGTTTTGGTCGACAGTATGGCCTGAAATAGTTGCGTGCAAAAAAACTGATATCAAAGAGGAAGAAGGCTAATCTAGTATTTTTATTGAAATGTGGCTAAAAGCCCCCAAAAACACAGACGAGAAATAATAAATAAAACATTTTCATCAATATGGCCATAAAAGATGGTGGTTATGGCAGAATGTCGCCTAAGTCGACTTTTGACAAATTCGTACAAAAATGAAATGATGATATATGTAGAAATAAGTGAGGAAAGGTCAAAAGTCGGGTGGAGCAGACTATATGATACCCTACACCACTATGCGTATTAAGTAGACCTCCCGTATTTTTATATCCTACACCACAAGGTGGTCAGGGTATTATGTCTTTGTACATTTGTTTGTAACAGGCAAAAGGAAACGAGATAGACCCTTAGTTCCTTTTGATGATCTGCATAGAATCACATTCTGAGTCGATTTATGCATGTCCGTCCGTCCGTCTGTCCATGTATTTTTGAGAACAAAGTACAGTACGCATTTATTGCCCTATCCAGATGAAATTTTGCACAAATCATTTGTTTGGCCCAAGGACGAACCCTATTATCAGTCAAAGTTTAGATATAACTCTCATATATCTTCGTCCGATTTGATTTTTATTGTGCACCAAACGTCTAATATCAGTCCGAATAGTATGGAATTTTGCACGTACGATCAGATTGGACCTGAAAATAAGTATGCCAAATTTGATCGAAATCGGTTCAGATATAGCTATAGCTCCCATATATATTGTTCATCCGATTTTTTATTTTTGTACTCCGCAGCCGTAATATGCACTCTGTAACAACAATATTTGGGGAAATATAACAAATACAGCACAGAAATACATTTGCTAAATTTTATCGAGATCGGTTCAGATTTGGATATAGCTCCCATGTATAACTTCGTCCGATTTACCTTTTATTGTACACCAAATGTCTAATATTTGTCCAAATAGGATGAAATTTGGCACCTACGACCAAATTGAATCTAGAAGCTAGTATGCCAAATTTGGTTCTGATCGGTTCAGATATAGCTATAGCTCCCATATATACTGTTCATCCGATTTGTTATATTTGTTACCCACAGCCGCAATATGCACTCCGTAACAACGATATTCAAGCAATATATTAAATACAGCTCAGAAATATATTTTCCAAATTGTATCGAGATCGGTTCAGATTTGGATATAGCTCCCAAATTTACATCTTTATCTGATTTCAAATTAATTTTGCAACAAATGGGCAATACAAGTCCGAATTTAAAACATACAAATGCTTCGGCATATTTAGTCCATTGAACTTTAAATTATAATTATAATCATAGCGTGTATGATTAAATTCTCCCAAAAAATCTTTTAATTGTTATGTGGAGCTCTACATAATTTTATGTATGGTGTAGGGTATCATAAAGTCGGCCCCGCCCGACTTTAGGACTTTCTTTACTGGTTTAATTAATTAAATAGGATAATGGTCCTTAATTACTTTCCTGGAAATCTAGAATTGTGACTCTTAATTTTTTGCACGAACTGCGCCAAAGTATTTCACAATTTTTCACGATTGGGCGGCATGCAATATTCGGACAAAAGTCACCATCTGTCGCCTTGCTTCATTCGGAGAAAATTCACGATTGGGCGCCATGTTATTTTCTTGTAAAATCTATGCGTCATAAGATATTTCTTCTTTAATTCAAAATTGTAAAATCCATGACTTTGCCATGTTATTTTCTAACAAAAATTCACATTTGGGCGCCACATTATTCCCTTTGAAAAGAAACGCAAAGGTAGTTTTTTTTTATAAAATCCACGATTGTGTGCTAAGGTATTATATCCTCAGCCATATGGCTATCATTTTATACGGCCAAAACGTGCCTCAGAGATTTTTTTAGACCCTAGGTCTCTTTGGACAAAATCCGTTTCAGAACATTTTTATGTTATATAATCTATTATGTTATAATCTTTGGGCCAAATGTGCTTAAAACCCCACGAGTGGGAGTCATCATTAATTTATTTATTAAAAATAAAAACTATGGTTATAGTCAAATTAGCTTCTTCTAAAAAATCACAAATGTTGTCTAAAATGTCTAAAGTATGCACGACTAGAACCCGAAATACCTGGGAGCAAAGCTATTAAAAAATCTACAATTAGAAACCAAAAACACAAAGATTAGCTATTAAAAAAATTTACGGTTATGGCTTTATCATTCTCTATGTGTGTTTTAAGGTCCTGGTGGCATTTTACTACCTTTTTCGTAAAGTATAACAAATCATACACTTTATATTCAAGACGGTAAGTTTTGATATAAATCCGAATAATCCTTCAAGAAAAAAATCACATTGGAAGCTGTTCCGTCCACTTCTTTTGTTGGCAAAGACGATGTCATTCCAGTGTACCTGTGACCCAATTGTAAAATAGAAATATTTTTTTTTTGTTTTTTCTTCAGATTGTTTTCTATTTCATTTGTATTTTTGCTTTTTTTTCTTTTTGTTTTGTAACTTAGCCTATTTTGGTCAAATAACAACTTTGAGAATGCTTCCCAAAAGACTACTGGCAAATATTGTCAATAGCCGGGAGCAATTGGTAACAGAGAGGGTTGGGGGGTTGTGGATGGGATACGGTGCGGGAACGGGATAATAGGACTTTGGGATAATAACAATTTAAGTTGGTGACAACAACTTAAGCAACGGGCAAATGGGCACCTTGGGGTTGGAAACCGTTTTCATCGGCAACATAGTTGACGGTGTAGGTTTGGCCATCATCAGCAACGAAGGAGTAAGAGCCCTTGACAACAATAGCTTCATCTTCAGAGCCGACATTCTTCAATTGACCTTGAGCTTCAGCTTCTTGACCATCGCTGGTGGCGTAACTGTAATAGGGAAGAAATTGAAAAAAATGTTTAATTAAGTTATCCTTTTTATTATGGCTGGCAGGCATCAGAATGTCCACAGGAGTTTGCGACCTCTAGATACTTACGCATATTGGAAAGATTCGGGACCAACATCAGATTCGTTCTTCAAAACTTCAACTTCGGCGGGAGCGGCCAAGGCCAAGGCGAAGAGGGCAACGAAAACAATGATGAATTTCATGGTGATTTCTTTGACGGCTTGTTCTGTGTAGTTTACCACAAGAGTTGCTACAGTTGAATGATATCGAACTCTGATCTTTAGTTACAATTTATACTTCTCCTTCTCTCACTCGAACTTAAGAAAAATATTTTGCATACGTTTGTATGTCTGCTATTGATCTTGAATTGTTGTTGCCTCATGAAAATTTGGATATTTCAAAGAATTCACACAAAACAGCAAAAATCATGGCAAAGGAGAAGGAGGAGAAGGGGTGGAGGAGAAGCAGCAGCAGAAGATACAACAATAAATTATGCTACAACATACATAAATACAAATCAAGTTATCTCCAACATAGCCAAATAAAACCAGAATACTGCGCATCCGTAGTATGGCCAAAAAAGAAGATGCGTGCGAAAATAATAACAAAAAGAATCAGCTCAAACAGCGACTAAATGAAATATTAAAATTGGTGGCTACAAAAAAAAAAAAAACTGGCAAGAGTTTTATGCTGAGTGGATACCGGTTATATTGCACTCTACATCGCATCTATTGCACTTAACATATTTTCATAATTAAAAAAAATCAAGATTGGGCGCCAAATTATGTTTTTATAAAATATATTCACCATTGGGCGCCAAAATATTTTTCCAAAAATAAAGAAAAATTGATAGAGGTAATTCATTTATTCATATAAAAATTCCAATTTCTTTAAAAAAAAAAATCTGGATTATTGGCTTTGTTTATTTTGTTAAAAAAACACTCTAAGGACTTAGTACGAAATACGAACGAATCAAATCGTTAAAAATAATGTTTTTATACCCTCCACAGTATTAGTATAATATTTTGAACATATTAGTCTTTTGTCTGTAGACAGGTCAAGTTCGAAGATGGACTATATCGATCCACGATATCGTATAGACCCCATATAACGGTACCCCCCTGATAGTTCGTATTTTAATGATTTTAGCCACATTTTTCAATGGTATTGTCTGAAAATTCACACAAAGAGTTCTTTGTGTGTATTTTAGTATTGTCTTTATAGGTCCACGATATCGTATGGTCCCTATACAACCTTCCTCACCGATAATTGGTATTTTGATGATTTTAGCGACATTATTCTCTGGAACTGTTTCAAATTTTGTATTTGAAGTTCGTAATGGGTACTTCAGCCGATGACGAAAAATTGTGTATGCAGGTCAACGTTGTCGTATAGCCCCCTTGTATCGATAACTCCTGATATTCTGTATTTTGATTATCTTAGGGACATAATTCACCGGAACTGTCTCAAATTTCGTATTTGAATCTCGTAATGGGTAGTACAATCTATAAGGGAGAATCGTCTTTGTAGGTCCACGACTTCATATAGCCCATTCTGTATTTTTTATGATATTGGTGACATTATTCAACGGAATTGTTCCAAGTTTGATGATATTAGCGACATTTTTTACCGAAATTATTTCAAATTTCGTATTTAAAGTTCGTAAAGGGTATTACGTATTCGCAAAGCTCCTATATAACGGGGTTTCTTTGCATGATATTTTTCGATGTTATTTTTAAATTTTAAAGTTTTTTTTTTAAATGGCGGTGGGTGGCCGAACCGTTTTCGTTTTCAACGAAAATTGGATGCTAATTTTTTTTTTATTTCTTATTTGTACGCCAAATAAATATTGAAAAAACATGATTGGGCGCCAAGATATTTTCTTTCAATATCCACAATAAGTTTTTTCTAAAATCCATAATTGGGCACTTACAACATTTATAATTGGAAGCCTATGTATTTTCATTGATTGGGGGCTAAGTTTTTTTTATCACAAAAATCCAGAATAGGATACTAAGTTGTATTCTTTTATAATCCATTATTGGGCGTAAAATGATTTTCATATAAAATTCACGATTGGGCGCCATGTTATTTTTTTCTACAAAATTTTCAATTGGAAGCCAAAGCATTTTCAATAATTGGGGGCTAAGTTATTTAATCATTCAGAATTGAATTGCCGCCAAGTTATTTTGATTTTAAATCCATGATTCACTAGTGGAAGCCAATAAGTTTTCTGTTCTCTTGTAAAATTCACAAAAGGTGCGATTGGGCGTCAAGTTACTATCTCACAAAATTGACGCAATGTTATTTTTTTACAAAATTTGCAGTTGAAAATGTAATATATTTTCAATGATTTGGGGCTCAGTTACTTTATCAAAAAAGAAAAAAAAAACAGGATTGAACGGCAAGTTATAGTATTTCAAAATCCATTATTGGGCGCCATATAATCAATGATTGACGCCAAGTTATTTTTTTGCGAGATCCATGTTTGGGCTCCAAGTTGTTTCTAATAAAATTCACGAGGATAAGCCAATATATTTTTTTTATTATTTCTTATTTCCTTGTAAAATCCATGGATTGTCATCAATTTATTTTTCTTTAAAATCTATATGCTTCCAAAATTCATTTTTCATTTTCGGTATCTATGATTGGGCGCCATGTTTTTTTTTCTAACAAATTCCAATATTAAATTCGAAAATCCACGATTGGGTGCCAAATTATTCTCTTATAAAGTTCACTATTGGACCCCAAGTCATTACCTTGTGTACTTCATGATTGGGCGCCAATTTATTTATGCACAAAATTCAGGATTGGCCCCCAAGAGATTTTCTTGCAAAATACACGATTGGGCGCCATTTATTCCAACATTTTTTCAATGATTGGGGTCTAAGTTTCTTGCAATTCTGAATTCGATGCAAAGTTATTGGTCGCCATATTATTTTCATATAAAATCCACGATTGGGTGCCCTGTTATTACCTTACGATGTTGATGATTGGCCGCCATGTTTTTTTTTTTTTAACAAAATTCACGTATGAAAGCCAATATATTCTGCATTATAGGTTATTTTCTTTAAAAAGTGCCGACGGGGCGCAAAATTATATTCATGTAAAATTCACTATCTGGAAACTAAGTTATTAGCTTGTGAAATTCATGATTGGGCGCCAAACTATTTGTGCACAAAACTCAGGAACGACAGCCAAGTTATTTTCTGGTAAAAGCCACGGTTGGGCGCCATGTTATTTTCATACAGAAATGAACAACTCGAAGAAGAAGTATTTTCAATGGAATAATTCTTTAATAAAATCCACGATTAGGCGCCAAGTAAACCTTTTACAAAATTCACGATTGGGCGCCATTTCTATATCCTCAGCCATATGGCTAATTATACCCTCAGCCATAGTCTAAAGAGGGACTGCTATAATTTCTATGTTACGTCCGACAGCTGTTAAAATTATTCCAGTGACAGCTCATTATATTGTTTACAAGCGTACAAAAGCATTTTGGTAAGACTCTCCAGGAAAAAAGTTATTCGTGATGGAATTCAAGCGTGATAGTGTGATTTCTTTATATTTGGCTGGAAAACCACAAGTGGATATCGTTAGAGCACTCCAGCATTTAAATTTGAATAATTCTTTTGTGTCTCGTACCATCGCTCACTACGTGATACTGTTAGCGTAGCCCGACTTCAAGAAAGTGGACGGAAGAAAACAGCAACATCAGCAGAAATGGTTCGAAAAGTAAAGAAGCGACTTGATCGAAACCCACGTCGCAGAGGCCGAAAAATGGTTCGTGAGCTGAACATCTCGCAATATTCCATTCGGCAAATATTGAAAAATGAGCTCGGGGTAAAGCCATTGAAATTCCAGAAATGGCAAGAACTTACACCGCAACAGAAAGAAAATAGACTCAAAAGAGCTAAAGAGTTTCTTCGCTTGGCCGAAAGTGCTGAACTGCCAACTTCGGTTTTATCCGTCTCCGATGAGAAAATATTCGTTGTCCAGCAGTTTGTAAACAAACAAAATGATCTCATTTATTTGCCAAAGAGGTCAGCTGAAAGTGTGCACCTACGGGTGACCACCAGAACTCAAGCGCCAGCCATGGGGATAATGAGGGCCGCCATAACAGCCGATGGTCGCTCTCCGCTCATATTAATCGACCGTGGCATCAGAATAAATGCCGAATATTATCGCGAAAATATTCTGGAGGGTGTATTAAAGCCTTGGGCACGCAAACATTGTGACCGCAGACCTTGAACATTCCAACAGGACTCAACACCATCGCACTCAGCGCGCGCCACCCAAGAATGGTTACAAAATGAGGTTCCTCCCATAATTTCCAGATCACGATGGCCACCAAAATCTCCGGATACCAATCCGTTGGACTATTGTGTCTGAAGTATTTTGGAAGCAAGGTTGGCCCTAAAAAGTACCAAAGTGTCGATCACCTCAAGCAAGCGTTTCGCCGGGAATGGGCCAAAATACCGCAGAGCAACATTCGGGCAGCGTGTGACGGTTTCATTGGCCGTTTGAAGGCCATAATTCGTGCCAAATGTGGCCAATTCGAACAAATCTAAACTTATTCTAAAATTTGATGCTATTTCCGATTTTTTTCAATAAAATTTAAAAAAATATACAAATTATGGCGTTTGACTTTGTTGCAGTTTTTTTATCTCACCCTGTATATTATATTTATTTGGGTGTGATACGAAATGAACAGCCCATACCTTCGGAACCTACTCTATAAAAGGTCAACAATTTGATTTATCATTACAGAAGTCAAAATATATTCAAATAATCGAACTTTGTCTGAGGGTATACATCTATCGGCAGAACCGACTGATACTTTTTACCTTGTTTTTTTTTAATCCAGACTTGCCACGTAATCGTAAAAATCCACAATTTACCCCAATTTCTTTTTTTTTTTTCTAAAAATCTTCGAAAAATAAAGTAAATATTTTACTAGAATTCTTGGCATTCGAAATGAAGTTGCAAACCTACCCACGAACTTTGCACACCAGCTGTCACCGTGAAAAGCCCCCAAAACGTGTTCGCCAACATGGTTTACCATTACACACACATACACTCATATATATGGTCATACAACATACATTTTAATTCACGCGACTTCAACAGCAATTGGCTACAAATATCGTTTTTGGCAACTAGAGGTCATATTTTCCACTTCCAAAAAAAATGAAAAAGAGAGAGAAAAATACCAACAACAAACACCCAAAGGAGGAACAACAACATTTGTGAGTGAACACAC